AGAAGAAAGGTGTTTTTAACTGTTTTCACAAAGGTGGAAGAGAGTTTGGGAGCATAGGACTGTGGGAGAGCGACAGGTGGAATGCAGAGGTCTGAAGCATGGAAGGGGTAAGCAACAGCTCAATGATGGGAGTTGGATGTGAAATGTGTGCAGGGTGGCGAATTTATGAACCAGGAGAAATCCGAATATGTACTGATTTTCATATGACGACAACTTTCGACTTTCAATGGATCAATGAATGTTCATTAACAATGCCATAGATCGGGGTCATTAAACCACTAGTACCTTTATCGGTTTGGAAAGTTGTGGGCCACCGACCTTTCAGGAGGCCGAAACGAAAGGACAGCCACCGATCTAATTTATCAACGGCAGCCATTGTCGGGCCCGGTGTCAAGCACATCGGTCCTGCAGGGGGACCCTCCCGGCTGCGTCACGCAGGATTTTATAGGACTTCGTCGTAGAGCGCGGTTTGTCGCTCCGACCGAGTGCGCCAGCCGTATCTCTCGTGAGCCCCTATGACAGGATAGGGTCATGCGAGGCACAACTTACCTCCACCCGCGGGAGCTGTCACCATCCCTTGGGTTGGTGTATCCCCGGCGAGCTACCGAACCACGTGCGAAAGCTTTTCGTATGCAATCGCAAAGGTGGTCCGACCGAGGGCGTTTCTCGTTCGCTGTAGCATAGGGGGTACGCACGGTTAACGCCCCTCAATCGGACCCGCATGCGAATTGACGCATTGGGGGGCTGAGGTCTTAAGTGCGACTCGTCGTCGGTCGACTAGGACGCAATCCACTCGCCACGCGTTACACCATGCTAAAATTAAAATACACACATAAAGACAAACTTTCCTAGTCCCTTTAGTGTACGACCCATAACCTTTTAACACGGAAATCGGTTAGGCGTCGCGCACGAGAGTCAAGATAAAACCGCGCGGCCGCTAGGCCTTTCTCATATCGGGTAGCAATGCAAGCATACGCACGCAGTCGCGACGATGGAGTACTATGTAGTACCCATAATCACGCGACCCTCGATAGTCTCGGGGGTCACGTTTCGACACTCAAGTGTCGGTTGACACGCGCCTTGACGGGTTAATCTCTCGACGCTAGACAACCGCCAAGGCGGTTGATTACTACACCCTTTTCTGCACCTTGCGGAGAGTGGGTGGTACACAGGTTCAAACCTTTGGTGGCAGTCAGCTCTCGCAGCCTTGGAGACAAGCTCCATCATCGAGGGCCTGGAGAGAAATCAAGGGGTTTGACTTTGACGGCTGTCACGGACTATAACGTCCAACCATAATAATTCTAAAAAGTAAGAGGTAAAAGGGGATTTCTCTTTTCTCTCTAGGCATAGTCTGTTTAACTCTCACGCATGGTCGCAACAGACCGCGCGGATACTCAGGGTATATATATATATAACCTGTTGAGGGTTCAGCCTCCTGATGAGTCGGTGAAACTCCGACGAAACAGTTTGTCACAGCCCCTCGTTTGTTGTCCTCTTCTCTCTCTCTGCCTACGGTTTACCGGACAGTTCTGTTTGTGACGATATATACCTCGTTTGTTGTCCTCTTCTCCCTCTCTGCCTACGGTTTACCGGGCAGTTCTATTTGACGATATATATATATATATATACGAGGGGCTATGAAACATGAGTTTATCACTTCTCATAGCCACTGTAAGGTTCCCTTTATAATTATGCTATGCAAGGGTAGTTCAAACAGTCAAACAGAAGTTTGTGTGGTATCAGACGATCACTCTCACAATAGTTGTGGCTTGTTCATCCGCATTCACACAATACTCAAACTATCACCGAGTCCAATTCAAAGAACTTATAAGCATACCTGCAATCACACAGAGTTCAAACAACAACATCACACACCCTAAGGGAGTCAACTTTACTGCTTTCTGCTACTCACACCCTGACTTATGCATACAAACCCCAACCAATTTCCACCATTACTCAATAAAGGTACTCAGTCCTTAGAAATTACCACTTAAAAAGAAATCTGGGTGAAAACCCCAAGAAACATAGAAACCCACAAGAGCCAAGGCCTTAGGTTGAGATGCAGAAGTAGGGAAGTTGTGTCGTAAACCGACCTGTTATCAAGAGATAACAGAAGAATGATCCTTCGTAGGATCAGGCCGAACGAATCAAGCCTTCAATGAAATTCGTTGACCTGCACCACAGTTCAGGCCAATGCGGACCAAATACTTCGTTCAAGATAGATAGAGGGTCAACACCACTCCATAGCCTATCTCCGTTACTAACGTTTACCTTACTTTCCTCAGAAGTCGTCAAGAACTTTGACATCACCTTGCTAAAGTTTTCCCTAGGAGAAAATAATCTAACTTTCTAAATTTCACAAAATTTTGGCAGTGCTTCCCGTAAGAAAAGTGTCTTTTCATAATTTTCAGATGTAAAAAAAATAACTAACTCTTTCAGATTTGTAACAATGTCGGCAGCGCTTCCCGTAGGAAAAGTGTCTTTTCAAAATTTCCAGATGTCAAAAAAATAACTAACTTTTTCAGATTTGTAAAAATTCCGGCAGCGATTCCCGTAGGAACAGGAGATTGTCAAGATTTATACAAAGTTGAAAATGTAAAAACAAGGTACAACTATACTTGGGACTAACTTCTGATACTCACTTGATAGTTAGAGTTGGTGATAGTTTACACGATCCTCTTTTGAAGATGGTATCGTGAGCTACCACTAGTCCTAGCTTCTAGTAAGGTCAATCCTATCATATCCCAAGCTACCCTTCCCATCATCAATTCTAGTCTATCTAGACCTCCAGAACTCGGCGACCATCTGAACAACTAACACTATCAAGCGATGCCCCAAAATGAGTGTCCCTCAATCAAACATGCATAACCAACATCTCTCTCAATCCCACATTTGCTTTGGCTAAGTAGTTCGTTAATCTCTCAGTTATTTTAACCCACAATAACCCCCCTTTCTTGTGGCATAGGATCAGACCGCCCCAACTTAGGGGTACGCCTGACCTGCCTAGGCGCAAAATAGAGTACACACAACTAGACTGCCCCAACTTAGGGGTATGCCCAACTTACATGACTGAAACGTATGTCCAGACTGCCCCAACT